GTGGTTGCGAGCTATGCTGGCGATGGTACATGCCTTCGGTAGGGTCACCCATGCCAGACAGGTCAAAAACGTAGGGTCAGATACAATACATCCTTGGGCAGGATGAGCTCGTTAGCCTTCTGGCAGTCATCCTAGGAGAAGGACAACTCTTATCCCAAACCCAGGCAGATGGAGCTCGCGTAGCCCCGTAAGGCCATCCATCTAAGAGAAGGTCACTCTAATCAAACCTACATCCTGAGGACCTCGCTGCCACCATCCAAGCTCACTCGGCCCTGGCAGATGAACCTTAGGATTAAAGGGTGGGTTCAGTTCTGCGCATACTACATCTCACCTAAAAAATCCACTGCACAGGCTCAAAGGCTTTACCCACAAAGTTTCCTTTGAGAATGCACACAGGATCACTCTCGAGGAGAAAAGACAATGCAGAAAGAATCATGTCTTGCAGAATATACCATCTAAGGAGTCTTTCTGCTGTGCCTTTTGCAATCGGACATGTCTGTCTCGTATTGGCCTTATTAGCCACCAGCGTGTTTGTAACAAACGTGGATAGAGCCTCCCAAATCTTCGTTCGCGAAGCCTAGCCATGATGATGATGATGTCTGTGAGACTGAATTCCTGCAATACAGCATATGCCTAGCTGCCTGGGAGCTTCCTGTGGCCAGTGCTGAACACCATGATTTATTACAATGGAAAGTAGTGCGGCTGTAAGCAGCAGCTTAATATAAAGCATAGAGCAGGACTCGAATCCAGGGTGATTAACCTAAAGAGGTATCCTGAGGGTCACCAAAGCAATCTGATTTGGGAATCTGTCTCCACTAACTGAACAGCAAACACTTGCACCTTCCTGCATAAATGTTTAAACCGCCTTGGTGCCATTCAAAGGCTGGCCATGATCATGCAGCCTGATGGGGCTAGTAACAGGTCCCATCATAAATAACCTCTCAGGTTTCTCCAGGGATTGAGATGGCTCCACCTCTCAACTTGGATCACAAGTTAGTTAGAGTGGGAAAGAAGTATTAATCTCCCCAAATCACTCTGTTTCTGAACCTATGCACATATGAGAAAAATTGAGGCTATGAGGTATCTTGCAGTTTTTCCAAGAAGGGTCAGTTGACCACTAGACGGTGCAGGAAAACAAGCTGTTGGAGACTTACACGGCATTTAGTTGCCCAGGTTCCATGTAGCCAGGATGATGGGAGATATCTGATCAGAAACTTCAGGTGGTGTGCTGGTTAATAAGTGATATCATTACTGAACTTTTGGCAGCTTTACAAGGTATTTCTGAACTTCTGGCAGCTTTACAAGGTATTTACTCTCTCCCTTAAGTCAGAGAGTGCATGTTCTGATCAAGAGTTTAAAAGAAAAGTGGTTCTTACCCAAATCGTTGTTTAATTCCGTAAAATAAAAATACAATTTCTATGATGTGGTAATTAATTCTGGGGCATAAGCCAGTAGCAAAATATGTACGAATGTTATGTGCCACAGTCATTAAAATGTAAATTGGTTGACTGCATGATCTTGCTTACATCCTTTAGAATGAGCAGTCCAAAATGGAAGTCACCAATTAGAAAAAAGGTTGTTTTTTAATAAAAATGCATGAAGAAAGATATAACTGATTTTACCCTGGTCACTAAGTGTAATGAGGATCCTTCTAAGAATACGCTATATTTAAAAATGGAAAAGGTAGAAGGGGGGCAGGAGACTTAAGCAGTATCAGAATGGGAAAATATTATAATGCTTAATTTTTGTAGTATATTGGCTACCATTAGAGCAGCAAACATAGATTTCCAGATGTTTGTGAAGAGTCCAACAGTTATATTTTATATCTATGGCTGTAGTAACAATTTCTATTCAGCAGCCTAGAAAAACATTTCATGTCACAGCAGGAAAGAAATATTACCATGGGTCTTTCCCCCCCTTATCTCCTATATAGGAATTCTGAATACTTCAGTCAACGCCAAATAAAAATGATGGTTTAAAAATTAAAAGCACAGTCACCAGGGGCAGGGCATAAATGTGCAGATGTTTTGTGATGCTGAAGAACTTTTTAGGCAAATGCCATTGTGGAGAGGACTGGAAATCCATCAGAGTTGGACACTGTCAAAAGCATTCCCTAAGCTACACTGTCAGAAAAGGCAGTTACCTTTTCATATTCTCTTAAGGGGAAAAAAAAAAAAAAAAGAAAAAAATTCAAACCCACAAATCCTATTCATAATGGCTTTTATACAGCTCTTAATATTTTATTAGCAAGGGATTGACTTGTTAATACAAGTGAGCAGCTTATATGTAGAGTTTACTGGGCAACCTGTACAAGTGGAAAGCTACATTGTCCCAAAGCTATGTACAAAATACCAGTTTTCCTTCTGCAGGAAGGAAAAATTTTTTAACAAGCTTATCACCTGTTTCTGTTTCAGTCACCTCTCTGCCTTAATGATGTTATACAAATGGCTGCCCAAAAATCTTGTCTTTACCATGGCTACATGGGTAGACAAAAGATGTCATGAATAACAACAAGTTTTTAAAGTCTTTAACCTTTAATGCCTGTGCATGAAGATAGACCTCTTGCCTCCCCAGAGCTGGCAGGCACTTCTGCAACCAGGAGTAGCACGGAGCCATCCTGATGGAGCATGAGCTTTTACAATTGCCCATCTCTGTACCATCAAGTAGTTCTGAGGATGGAAATAAAGCTCAAAAATAAAAATGGATGTCAGCTCCTCCCTTTCCTGTTTATTTGATTTACTTTTAATTAGCAAGGTGAGATCACAGGTGAGATTTTCTGTACTGCCTGGCCCTGCTGTGCTTTAAAGGGTGCAGAAGGCTCCCCAACAGTGGCATGATTCCCCAAGCAACCAGAAACTGCTGGAGCAAGAAAGCCATGGGCAGCTGTGCCACTTCCTAGCAAAAGGCAAGGGGATGCTGCAAGTAAAAGCAATGTTGTGGGAGTGTTGGCTTGTGCAAGACAGGTGGTCCAGAGGGGAAAATTTGGCATATGTTAGGGGAGGCAGGAAGAGGGCCAGAAAGTGTGCAGCTGTGGGGAATCATGGAGTTGAAGCTGCATCTCTGATGGCCTGGCCTCTTTTCAAAGCCCCAGAAACTGCCTGTCATATTTGGCTTGTGTCAGGTTTCAGTTTTCCGTAATGAAAAGCACTATTAGCAGGTAAAGACAATTCATTAGGTGCAACATAGCAGAACTGTAATTAATTATTAGATATTATTTCTCACAGAATGCATCTCCAAGATCACATTGAATTAGCCACAATATTGGACTGATGGAGCATAAACAAGGGTAATGATAAACACCAGTGAATGGATTTGGGAAGAAATGGTTATTAGGGTACTGGCGTCTTTCATGTGGGGTTTATTTAACGATCTCATTAATGAGCTGGAAAAGGAAGTGAATAACCATTTAATTAAGTTTGTATTTGATACTAAATTAGAAGTTGCTGCAGACACCTCCGAGGGCAGAGAAATAAATCAAAAGGAGCTAGAAGCTTGTGCGGTAAAGAAGAAAATGAGATCTGGTATGAAGGAAAAAAGCAAGCTAATCTCCCTGGAAGCAAATAATCTAAAATGTAGCTATCAGTGGAGGAATTCTGGAGAAAGCAATGTTGAAAGAGAGGTAGGGGTGTTAATGGACTATACATTCCATCACAGCTTGGATATATGTTTACAGAAGCAACGTATCAAGGAGCAGGAAGGTAATAGCCGTTCATTGTGGGGCTCTAGTGAGAACCCATCTATAATGCTGCACTCTGTTTTGGGCACCCTGTTATCAGAGAGATATAGATGAATTGGAATGAGTTCAGAAAAGAGCTGTAAAAATGATCCCATATCCCTGGAGATAATGACTTATGAAGAAAGATCAGAAGACGTAAATGTGTAAAGCCTTGTCTGAAAGATGACTGAAGCAGGGCAGAAAAACAGTCTGCAAAAATGTGAAAGCAAAAAGGGAGGAGGATAATTTATCATAGTAACTATTAGTAATAGGATGAAATAATAACTAACAACAATAAATTTTAAAAGGGCAACTTCAGGTTGAATGTAGAAGAAATTTCTGACAGTGGAATTTGAGTTGGTTTGCAGAGAAGTTTCCCAAGGGTGAAAGTAAAAGCTGCATTCAAGTAATTTAAAATCAAATTGGACAACTCACTAGAAAATGCACCCTGCTGTAGGGAACAATCATCCATTGCCTGGGGAATAAGCTGGATGACTTAATAAGATATTTCACACTCAGGTCTTTATGACTGTGATATTTTTAATATGCATGGTCAACTATTTCAGGAAAACATACATTTCTTCTGCTGCCAAGCCTGAAAATACAAACACTTGCATGCAAACATAACTTCTGAGAAGCACTGCACTGGTGACATGCAAAAACACAATCCTGAGCTCTTCAAGTTTTTGTAAGCTGAGAGTCTCAGATTTTGAGTTGTCAATATCAAGATGGTATATACAGGTATATGGGTAGGTGAAGAAGTGTGCAAAACAGAAGATGGGGGTTGGAGGCTCCAGTGAAGATGTATAATTATGGTTATTTTTATGGTTATTGCTATTACTACTTATGACTGGTAGTGTGGGGTTCAACTCAGTTGAACTGTTCATCTTTTTGATCTCCTGCTTCCACCTCTGTGCTGAGTGTTCATTAGACAGTGTAAAATTGCTTTCTGTACTCTGTTTTTTCAAACATTCGGTATTTTTAATATATCTTAAAATGTCTAGACAAGCTAAAGCGAAAACTTGACCCTCTCTCAGGTGAAGAAGAAATGGCAAAAGCTATGTATTTAAATGGATATGAGAGTAATCCCATATTCCCCCCCCCCAATTATAGCAATGTAATGTTGAACTCACTTCACCATTCATTAGCAGCAGAGAGAAGCTCACAGGCATTCAGAGAGGTATGCTCCCTAAAACACCATGGTTTTTACATGTGGGTTTTTTTATGTTCCTGTTTTCTTTTCTTCCCTCCCCCCTTCCCGATGGGCTGTGTGTGGGGCTGGCAGCCTGGTGGTGCCACAGCCCAATGCCCGAGCCTCGGGACTCTCCAGCAAGGGGTCAAGCAGCAGCAGCTCCAGTGAATCCGAGACCAGCTCAGAGTCTGACTCAGAGAGTGAAAGCAGCTCCAGCGAGAGTGACGGCAGCAAGCCCTCGCATTACTCCAGCCCGGAGGTAAGGGCTTCTGCTCTTTATGATTTAGGGTGCACTCCATTATTACACCCACTCAGACCTTTTCCCAGCCAAGCCAACACAAGGAGCCTGTGGGGAGATATACCAAAAAATGGAAGAGAAGGGCCCAGGGATCCTCCTCCTGGCATGCTGTGAGATGCAAGTGGCCAGGGATCCTGGGGCAGATTAAAGGATATAAAACAAAAATGAAGAAAGAAATAAGCCTGTGATGTTTTCCTTAAATTGGAGATGAGTGGACCACCTTGCAAAGCTCACAGCTTGCTTGAAGTTTTATACCATTCTGCCTCCATAGCAATGACTTGCTCAGTGTTTAAATCCTGATGTGGGCTCCCGGCACCGCAAGGGAACTAAAGGCTTCGCCACGCAGGAAGCTGTTATAAAATCAGTTTGCGGGTGGATTTTTAAAGCAAAACAGTTTTCACTCACACACTTCCCTTGCCTCACTCTATAAGTGAATTATTCTCTCCTACTGCTGCCTTTGTGTGATTTATTTTAATCCACCTCCAAAATGGACTAAACTTAATTACTCATGGTGCAAAACATTGAGCCCAAACTTGTCATCTGGAAAGCTAGTACTGAAAATTTCCACATGTAGACAAGCCCTAGCCAAACTACAATTAAGCTGCCAGTACTGACACCACCTGCTTTCACCTCTACAGAAGGATCAACAGACACAACAAAGCTACTTTCTCTGCTCTGCTTTCCTACCAGGATTGACATTTCTACATATTTTCGTCAATACACACCTTTAGAATTAAACCATGAACTCCACAGCCACATCACACACATTAATGTATGTAAAAATATTCAAAAATTTAGTGGCAAGATTGTAAATACACGTGAAATACAGTCAATGAATTTTCCTACTCCACATAAAGCATCCAATCACCAGACTCCTCCCCCCAAAACTATACCTCACCTATTCTCTCACCCGAAAAAAATGACACTGAAAAAACAGCAAACCTTTCCTCATCTTTTTCTTGGTTATTTGGAGCCAATCAGGCAAAATGCAGCACTCACAGAAACATCCTTAATATAGTTTTCTCAGGTTCTGTTGCTTTTCTTCCTTATTTAGCACTTATCTTCCTGTCTGTCTTTCCTTCACAGTATTTTCAGATCCATTTCCAGTTAATTTTCCTCTCATTTTGTCCCTTTCTTACATGTCTCTCTCTTCCTTCCAGTCTTTCTTACCTGTTGCCCTCCCTGCGGTACCCCATGTCTTACTTCCCATTCTGAGCTTTCTCATCTGACCTGTTAAGACCTTGTTTTCTCTCTGCCTAATTCCCCACTGGAATTAGTGCAGAGATCTCATGCTCGGTCTCTCCTCTCCCTGGGGGATCTCGAAAGATGGAATAAAAGGGGCAAAGAGAAGAAAGAGAAGGAAACATTGTGAGAGGAAGGAAATATGAGGTGAAAGGAGGAGAAGCATTGTACCCAGGAACGGAAGAGTGGTTACTAGCTAGGCAGTTACCCATGCTGCTTGGACTCAAGAGCAGCAATTCCTCTGGGAATGCATGAAGTTAATTAACTGAGGCAGGTCATGGATTTCATAAAGTCAAGCAGAGGATTGAGTCATGGAAACATGGAGGAAGTGCCTCCTCTTAAGCATTTTATACATATCCTCTCGAGATCTGTGGAACTACTTTTGTACAGAGCCTGAGTTGTCAGTGATCATTGTCACGAAACAGCTGCACCACTCCAACAGATTGCTTGTCTCTTTGCATTATGTTTGTGCGGTTTGTCTTCTAGGACATGCTGTATGAAACATGCATATACAAAAATGTAAATTACCCAAAAATGTGAAGGCTACAGTGATTTTCATAGGGCATTTTCATCCCTTGATGGGATATGGGAGATGGCACACATGGATAGGGTCAGGGTGTCCCAGGGAAGTAGGATACCTGTGTTTTCCCCAAGGGCAAATGCTTTCCCAGGCCTATCGTATGACTGATGGCACCAATTCAAATGTGCTTACACGATGTCTCTGACTGGAAGTCATTTCAGCTTTGCATAAATGCTTTAACTTACATTTATGCACCCAGTGAAGACATCTTTCTAAAGTACATGCCAGTTTCTTAACCAGTAAATGGAAAGAGACAGGTCCTTGGAAGCTCTTTGAAGGGAGGTCCTGTCCACTTAAGTAGCGGACTCAATTCCAGAACTAGTCTTAAAATGAACTTAATCTATTGGATAAGACAAAAAAAGTAAATACATCTTTGCTTTTGATTTAGCATTAACTGGTAAATTCAGGTACAATGAACTCGAGTGCTCCAGCACAGTGCTCCATATTTCCAGATTGGGAGGAACTCAATCTGGAAATCTGCAAACCGTTATGAAGCCTTCATTCTTTTATTTTCTCTCGTAATCTGAAATATTACATGCATATACTCAAAGATTTTTATTTCTAGGACAGTGTATTTTCTGCATATGAGGTTATATAACAATTCAATTGCTGTTTCATTTCTTCTGTAATTTTTTCCTCACCTCATTTTGAGATCTTGAAGTTGTCCTCAGGTGTCTAAATGCAGTAGCCTAGAGTGTAAAAGCAGCTTATTGTAAAGCATACATATAAAGTAGATTAGATGAATTGCACCCTAAAAGTGTCTGTTTCTTTCCATTGACTATTTAGAGCCTGTAGTGACTAGCTCAGCTGTCTACACTTTATGTGTGCAGTAAACTAAGAATAATGTCTGAGCTAGAACAGGAGACAACATTCAGACTAATTTCAGTGATGTGGACAAATAAGGTGCCTCAGACATTATTGTGAGTAGTTACACGTTTGTGGACTGCCAAACCTAAAATTATGAACAAGGGACTGAGACTTCTATCTCCTGTTTCTTTGCTGAAGTAATCAATTCTTTGAATGACCTTAATTAACGTCATAAATGAGGAATCTGGAAAACAATGACGTCTTGTCCTTGCAATTATTTCAGATGGTAGAAAAAAACTTTGGTTTTAAATCTACAGAAAGAGCTACATTTCTAAAACTAAGAATTTGGGGGTTACATTCTTTGTTCCATTGAATTATCCTGCAGACCTTTAGTAAAGCTGGCTTTGGTTATACAACTGTGAATTCCCACTATGGGAATGACAAGAGGGGAAAATGGGCAGGAAGGAAGCAGAGAAGCCATCACATGGGACAAAGGGTATCAGTGGAGACTCAACAGTAACAGGTCCAGAAGACAAAGATGCCCTTTTCTGAGCCCACCAGCCCCACTCAGCAGACTGCAGTGTCCTTTACAGACTGCTGTTGTGACTAGTTCACAACCAATAAAGTTTCTTCCTCCTTTTTGAGGATTCACATATACGAAAGAAAAGGGGATTTTACCACTAGACCAATTGTAGACACTATCTCTACCCTTGCAAATAGGATTCATGGGCTTTAGCTGTCCTGTGGACTATTTTTGAGTAAGACTACAAACTACTCTCTCTCTTCCCTCCAGAGAAAACTCTTTGTGGCAAGAACCACCACATAGAGTATAAGTGTGCTGTGCCTAACATATGGGAATCCCCAGTTCTAACTTGTTAAAGCACTAGCAACAGTGTTAACAGTGTCAATAAAGTAGTAATAATAAGAAGAATCACCATCATCTTCATCATCATCATCATCATCGCCGTCCATGCCTTAAATATAACGAGAAAGCACCAGATTTGTAAGGGGATTGCCCTGAATAAAGTATTTGATAGCAGGGCAGCCCAAGTAAGTTACCATAAGGTTAAATTTGTGTGTGGATTTACGATAGGCAGAGTAGACTGCAGGGATGGCAAATAGCTCAGTCCTACCCAGAGTGGGCTAAGTCCATGCACATAGGCTATCTAATATCTGAGTGAAAGCGGTGTCATGCTTCAAGTTTACCATGTTAGCCACACCTTAGATGCCTCACAACCGTAGAGTGACCCCATTACACTGACATTGTTTAACAGCCCTTTACCGTAGGAACTGTTTCTGGATAGTGTTTTGACAAAAGTTTCTTTTTGGATGTATGCCACTCGTACCTCTGGTTGCACTTGCAGCCTTGAAGAGATCTGAGATATGTAGATAACGCCGTGTGGGAGTCATCCCACCTAAATTTGCACACTTCTGCTGTAGATACCTACATCTGCTCATCACCTCAGCCTCCCCTTACAGTCTGTGGCGAAGAAAAGACGTTTTTGGGGCCCAGCTGATCTGGTCTATTTCAGATGTCTATTTCAAGATGGAATTTTTCACACCCTACAAGAGCAGTCCACTGACTGGAGAAGGAACTTGTTGACTAGCTCAGATATAGGTGTCTGTATTGTACAGATGAATCCACCCACGTTTAAGGAAATGTATCACATCCTTCTGTTTCTCCATGAAGCCTGGCACATGTGTATGTCTGTGGTGCATTGATCCCCAAAACTATCTGTGTCCTGTTAAGTTTCCTGGCTTGGGTTTTCATGCCAAGCCTATATTTAATTGCAAGTCAGCTGATCACAGAGTGTTGTTCCTATTACTGGGCACCACAGGCTTTACTCCAATTTAAATCTGGCCAGCTCTCTAAAAGGCCCTGGGGGCAGCCCAATACCATGACACAAAAACCAAAGGGCAGAGAACATTCTGGTATCAGAATACTCTGGTCATATATATTCATTTCCATCCTTACGTGCTGCTGAAAAATTTCCAGTTCAAGCAAACCAACTTTTCTTCCATAAAATGGTATGTAACATACTAAGAGGGATGATGTGGAGTGGAGAATTAGAGATTTTCTTTTTCTCCCACAGATTATTACAATTAGGCATGTAAAATGGACTGGCAAAAACTTTCAAGGGAATGTTCCCAACCCCTTTTTTTACCAGGCCTGATATTCATTCTTGGCTGTCATGATTTTGTTCCCTCACCAGGTACTTTCTTTTTTTACTTGATTTCAAAGTACAGTCAATTTTCAGGTAGAACAATCGATTGAATAAATTATTTCCAAAAATGAATTGGCATCACTCATATATACTGACAATCTCAAATATTCCAAAACTGTATCGGGCCTAAAATTAGTATGAAAAGTTTTAAAATTATGATTTTTTAAATTTGGATTCTTTTTAATTTACCCGATAGGCTGCAGGCATTTTACTTTTGGCAGATGCATCTTAAGGGATTTTTTTAGCAGACAGATCTTAAGGATTTTTTCCAGCAGCCACAAGGATTTAAATTTTTATTTAAATAAACCCCAAAAGTGCACCTGAAACTCCTGACAAAATCAGTAAAGCTGGCAACACTGTTGATCCTTTTTATTGGACTTCATAGCTGGCTAATAGGTTGGTGGGACTATAGTTATTCTGCCTAAATAGCAGACATACCACTCTAGGAAAGTATTGCACTGTCAAGTTATAGCAGTGTAGCACTTAATCACTGTTTTCTGCTGGTTTACTGTGACCCCTTGAAATCCATATTTGGTGAACCACTGTTTTCGAGAATTACAAGGTACATAAAGAAGCAGAATGGGATGTAACATAAAAACTGGAATTGTTTTGAACTTTCAAGCAACACTCACTCTGACCTATACTATGGGCAGAGGTATATTTTTCCCCATGTGCTTCTGGTGTATGTCCTTTTTCTTAAATACACCTGAACAGTAGAAAGACTTCCATGTATATAGAACCTTTTATTATATATCTAGTAAATTCAGTATGTGCACAATGAATGGCACCAAACAAATCTATCTGTATTTTCAACAACAATAAAAAAAAAGTGTTGTTCACTTTAGATAAAGAGTTAAGAGTTGTAAAAATACAGCTTCATCCAAGAGAAATATTGACCATCCGTTTTCAAGATTTACACCTCAGGAAAGAAATTCCTCATGTAAGATATTAGGGAGTGTGCTTTAAAAGAAATAAACTTTAGGCAATCCAGCAAACTTCCCATAGGTTTTGGCTAGCTCACTAATAAGTAAGCTAGACACTTTTGCTAGAAGGAATATTCTTATCATATGAATTTCGATGTCTAATTTTTTTGCTTATTTTAGGAGCCTTTGCTCCATGTAGAGTGAATACAACCCTCAGTGGGTGATTCTGGAGGTGCCCTTGGCTGTGCAGGAAACCTGTGTTGCCCTCAGGCATCTACTTTAAAAAAGAAGTAAGAGACTCTTTTAAGTTAGATACTGTGGATATTCTCTCTTGAGCAAACTTTCTTACAGAGCACTGGTGGTTTTTATATTTGACTCATGACACACTTTTTGATTATTCATATGCAGTAGCCTAGTGAATCAAATTTTGATTGCAGTTGAGGAAATTAGGAGACTTTTCACTTTCACTTCTGTGAGGTTAGGTTATGGCTGGCCATCTACTCCATCATTTATTTCTTTTTGGGTTTTTTTTTCCTTTCCTCTTCATTTTATTACGTTCAAATTACTGATTGCAAGAAGCACTAGAAAACACTCGCATATTGTTCTGAAATAACATCATCTGAGCTGTGGTTACATTTGAAATCATGATTATCCCACTTCTTCCCTGTCCAAACACCATTATGTTTTAGATGCTCTCTTATAACATGATGGTGTTGTGACAGAAATGAAGAGAAAAACTAACAGCCGCACAATACTCCCAAAATGAGAACTTGACAGCACCACCACACAACAAATGTTTGTGGGATCTCAGAGGATTATAACATCAATACCAGGCAGATTACATAAATCGCCTGGTTAGCCCTCCAACTCCCCACCAAATGCTTCTTAAAATACTTTCTGTATTTACTGTGATGGCACAGGACACAGAATACATATCCCTAGCTTTCCTACTAGCTATCTTCCCTTGTACCCTGCCTTGTTTTCATCCCTTCCTATCGCCATTACATTTTTTTCTATTTGGAAACTTAGAAGTGTTTCCCAGTAAAGCCAATGCCACTGCGCTGTGTGAATCACCCTGGGAAATGATGAATCACAGAAGCCATCCTCTTTTCCAATGCCATTCTGAAACCAAAACCATCTCCACTTGCAAGGCATGCCCCACGAGCCCTGTCCTGCCGCACAGGGCCAGTGCCCAGGGGTTGCTGTAGACTGGGGGTGGCTCTTGGTCCAGAGGAAAATCTCTGTGGTACTAGGAGGGACACGGCGTTTCTGCGCCCCTGAGGGATCCCCGGGGTGGGGGCAGCAGGGTGTCGGCACTAAGCTCGTGTCCATCTGTTTGGCTTTCAGCCCGAGCCGCCGTCGTCCAACAAGTGGCAGCTGGACAAGTGGCTGAATAAAGTTACCACGCACAAAGCACCCATCCTAACCCACCAAGATGGCCCAGCGCTGGAAGCCCATCCCTACTACGGCCGCGTGAAAGTCGAGCGGCAGGAAAGCGAGAAGGCCT